TTTCTGTCCCGCCTTTGAAAGTCCTGGAAACCAAAACTTAGAGACGATTAACCAAAGTCTTATGGGTTTGAAATGACATGAGGGTGAGCAAATGACAGAGATTTCATTTTTGGGTAAAATTGTTCTCTCTGCTTTAGTTCAACTGAAGAAGTTGAAACAATGTTCTCAAACTCCTTTTCTGATGCAAAAGGGCTCGTGGGTCACAGATGCATGCATACCCACTTTAGAAATCCAATGGAAATGGTGCACTGTCTGAGCATCTTTGCCAAAAGATTCTTTAGCATAGCATTTTCAACATACCATGATTTGTGGCACACTACTCACATTTCATGTCCTATTTAGCTGCCTCTGCTGCTACTCGTGCGTTTCCAGTTCCTTTGTTATTGTCATCTTTGGATTGGAAAGTTTCCATACCTCCAACAGAAAGCTCAGATGTAGCATGTGCATCTTTCAACATTTTGGGAAGCATCTGTGCCAGCAGCCTTGGCTTTTTCCAGCGTGTGTTTGATGCAGGTTATGCTGGATGTGTGTGGCATCCTGTTTCCCCTCAGGGAGAGAATCAGTGATGCAGCTTTTCCATGTTTGGTCAAGGGGGATGGGCGTACCACAGATTGATCACCCTGGAAAGCAAATTGGTCTCCACATATCAATAGCTGAACTCATACACACATTACTTGCTCAGGCTTGCATATCAAGGGCAGCTGTGGTATCTAGAATCTCAGCTGCAAGGTCAGAGACGACAGTCTAGCCCGGCTTGTGGCTGCTGGGTTGAGTGTATTTCAGGATCATGGACTATTAATAGAACACACAAAGCCCATCTGCTGGACTGATTTGTGTGTGTTGAGAGGCAGAGTGTCAGTAAATGTTTAGAAATTGAGGGATGGATTGGTGAAAAGCTCATTTTAAACTTATTGTCTATGGCATTTACAAAATCAACATGTAGATGTGCAGAAAAGGCTTATGTATCCTTAAATTTATCCATACAGTTTTTAAATCATGAAAATGTTCACTATCAGTTATAGATAATATATAGCTTACTTATAACTCAAAGGTATAATGCCACATTGAAAGTCTGGAATTTCTAAAATCTGATTTACACCTGGAAATGAACAAATATGTATTTTAGTATTTAAAGCAAAAAATGAATGATGTTAAATGAATGAGAAATATTCTGCATTATTGTTATATTATTTCTGATACGAATGCATATATTCTGCAGGAAATTCATTATGCATTATGTTCTTCTGTAATTGTGACAAACCTGCTTGTTTTCAAACTTTTTTTGAAAAGAAACTGGAAGTATCAGTATTTGAATTTAATTAACCACAATCATTTTTGTGATTCCAAAACTATCAAGAACTCTGTTCTTTAATAAAACAATAGTTGTTGTAAATAAAATTAATATTTAATATAAATTTAATCATATAACATTTAAATACATGTAAAAAATGTACTCCTTCATTTGTGCGTAAGTGTGTTTTGTGGTGTTATTGTTGTTTAGCATTTTAATTAAGTTTTTTTTAATATATATATAACTTAAGCTATTTAAATGATCCTGCGGCCCTCTAGTGGGCCCCGGCTTCCTGATTGAGAACCTAAATAACGTGACATTGATCATGTGACTCTTTGTAAAGACATCATCTCAAATCATGTTGGAGAACATGATCATCAGTTTTTACACAAACTACTGGAGATCATGCAGCTTGAGTGAGAGAGACAAACCCAAGTGTAAGACATTATGAAATTCATATAGTTAGCTAGTCGACTTTTCAATGTTAAATTAGAAAAGTGAGCTCTTGGAAAACACTGTACATGTGTGTTCATTTTGGCATGTTGGAAGGGTAAAAAGAAACCTCTAACAGTATTGACATTCCATTCACGACCCTTCACCCTGCATTGGATTAATTTATATGCGGTCATTACAGCTTCGTTTTGCTTTCCCTATTTGTTTCCGTTCTTTTGACAGCTGTTGTGAACTGATTGCATGAATCTCTCACAAGGGAGCCATGGGGTTCTCGCCAGTATAAACATGCTTGATAATGGCTTGTGAATTCTCACTGCCAAACATATAGTGATAGAACTCTTGTTTACCAACATTCTTGAAAATATATATTTTTAGCGTTCCACAGAAGAAAGGAAGTCATTGACGGTTTATTTATAGTCTATGATGCATTATGGGATATCTTGCCTCACCGAACTCCAACATTAATGCCTTTTTAACAAACAAGTCAATGACTTCCTCTGGTGGAACACTAAAAAGTATATTTTCTAGAATGTTGGTAAACAAGAGTTCTATTTCTTGTCCATTTTTATTAGCTGAGGTATGAATCAAAATGATTTCCTTGGTCATTTAAGTTGCCTCTATTGGAAATATCAGTTTTGCTTGTCACACATGTTGTGTGTTAGTTGTTGATTGTGTTGACTTCAGTCTTCTAAACTAGCTGGCAGCCATATCACCCTGTAGCCCAAGACTGGTTACCCACTGAAGCTAAGCAGGGCTGAGCCTGGTCAGTACCTGGATGGGAGACCTCCTGGGAAAACTAGGTTGCTGCTGGAAGAGGTGCTAATGAGGTCAGCAGGGGCTGCTCACCCTGTGGTCTGTCTGGGTCCTAACGCCCCAGTATAATGATGGGGACACTATACTGTCAACAAGCACTGTCCTTCGGATGAGATGTTAAACCGAGGTCCTGAGTCTCTGTGGTTATTAAAAATCCCAGATTTTTTCGAAAAGAGTAGATGTGTGACCTCGGCATCCTGGCCAAATTTGCCCATTGGCCTCTGATCATCATGGCCTCCTAACATTCCCCATATCTGCCAATTGGCTTCATCACTCTGTCTCCTCTCCACCAGTAAGCTGGTGTGTGGTGGGCGTTCTGGCGCACTATGGCTGCCGTTGCATCGTCCAGGTGGATGCTGCACACTGGTGGTGGATGAGGAGTTTCCCCTGACAATATAAAGCGCTTTGAGTGCCTAGAAAAGCGCTATATAAATGTAATGAATCAGATTAACCAGCTTGAATTCTTGAAGACTGTATGCGTTGAACAGGTTGTTTTGCTAGAGAACAACACCACTGTGCTGATCCACCAACATAAACCCATCTGGATCAGCATAGAAATTCAGTTGAGTTGACCTAAGCTGACTTTTTCAGCAGGTCATTTAACCCAGAACTTTCCTTACAGGAACAAGGGGAAAGAAACTGGTCAGGAATGACATCTCTCTCATCTCCCTCTGAATCCGTCTTCATCTCTCACAGTGTTTATCCCAAGGTTTCATTTTCAGCCCAGATGTGTTGGACATCTCTGCTATGAGAATTGTGTTTATGACCCTGTGTAAATGGCAGATTTTGATCATGGGGATTGGTCTATTTTGGGACTGAGTTGTGTGATGGAGATTAATGGATATGACAGAGTCGGTTGTCTTTATATGGACAACCGCTCAACTTTTTAAAGAGGTGGTTAACTAGTATGTGCTGTTTCCTATTTTAGCTTAATCTTGATATCATGTTCTCCTAAAGCTCTTTGGTTAGTGTGGTCAGTGTTTTAGTCAGATGCCAAAGTTTTGAAATATTTATTTAGCCTCACAAGATGAAAATAGAAGACTTTTGGGTTATATTTGAGCTGTATTAAACATTCTCACCAGAGTAGCAATGGTTGTTTTCAGTGAATTATTATTTTTTTTATCTAGTAGGAGTAAAAAGACTACCGTAATTAATTCTCATACAAACTATCTAGTCCATAGTTCACATTCAACATGTGCAGTACAAAAAGTACAGTAGTATTAAACAGAGAATTATTATGTTTGCTTTATTGTTTGTTAATAATTGTGTAACTTTTGAAAGACTGTTTAAGTTTCTGAGGAATTCCATGAAGGGTTGATTGATATTACGGAGCATTCCTTCAGTAGCCAATCAGAGTCAAGAGTGAGTCAGACAGACTCCACCCCCCGCTGCAGCTGATTGGCTCTTCCTGCTCTTTATATCTCCAGACATGAAGGGTGCTGAAGTAAACATATCTGCTCTCACATACATACCTGGATCATCTCAAATCATCTACATTTCAACTTAGCCACCTGTTACCTCGACAAGCAATGGCTGCCTTTGTGTCGGTGAGTACAAATGCCACACAGGAGGATGTAGATTAAGTAGTTTTAGAATTTGTGCAGTTACCTCTTATTAACTAATTCATATTAATTACAGTAGTGCAACAATGTAGCCTTATGGATTTAAAAGTCAGCCACTGGAAGGTTTTTCTTGTTGTGTGCACTACTGTTCAAAAGTTTGGGGTCGATAAGATTTTAATGTTTTTGAAAGTCTCTCACCAAAGCTGTTTTACAGTTAAATACAGTAAAACTGTAATATTGTGAAATATAATGACAATTTAATGTAACTTTTCAATTTTAATTTTAAACATTTTTAAATATGTATTTTTTCCCAGGATTCTTTAAATAGAAAGTTCAAAAGAACAGCATTTATTTGAAATAGAAATATTTGTAACATTATAAATGTCTTTACTGTCTCTTTTGATCAATTTAATGCATTCTTGCTGAATAAAAGTATTCATTTCTTTCAGCTTAAATTGTGTCAGTATTCACAAGATGAAAATAGAAGACTTTTGGGTTATATTTGAGCTGTATTAAACATTCTCACCAGAGTAGCAATGGTTGTTTTCAGTGAATTATTATTTTTTTTATCTAGTAGGAGTAAAAAGACTACCGTAATTAATTCTCATACAAACTATCTAGTCCATAGTTCACATTCAACATGTGCAGTACAAAAAGTACAGTAGTATTAAACAGAGAATTATTATGTTTGCTTTATTGTTTGTTAATAATTGTGTAACTTTTGAAAGACTGTTTAAGTTTCTGAGGAATTCCATGAAGGGTTGATTGATATTACGGAGCATTCCTTCAGTAGCCAATCAGAGTCAAGAGTGAGTCAGACAGACTCCACCCTCCGCTGCAGCTGATTGGCTCTTCCTGCTCTTTATATCTCCAGACATGAAGGGTGCTGAAGTAAACATATCTGCTCTCACATACATAACTGGATCATCTCAAATCATCTACATTTCAACTTAGCCACCTGTTACCTCGACAAGCAATGGCTGCCTTTGTGTCGGTGAGTACAAATGCCACACAGGAGGATGTAGATTAAGTAGTTTTAGAATTTGTGCAGTTACCTCTTATTAACTAATTCATATTAATTACAGTAGTGCAACAATGTAGCCTTATGGATTTAAAAGTCAGCCACTGGAAGGTTTTTCTTGTTGTGTGCACTACTGTTCAAAAGTTTGGGGTCGATAAGATTTTAATGTTTTTGAAAGTCTCTCACCAAAGCTGTTTTACAGTTAAATACAGTAAAACTGTAATATTGTGAAATATAATGACAATTTAATGTAACTTTTCAATTTTAATTTTAAACATTTTTAAATATGTATTTTTTCCCAGGATTCTTTAAATAGAAAGTTCAAAAGAACAGCATTTATTTGAAATAGAAATATTTGTAACATTATAAATGTCTTTACTGTCTCTTTTGATCAATTTAATGCATTCTTGCTGAATAAAAGTATTCATTTCTTTCAGCTTAAATTGTGTCAGTATATAGAAGAGTATACAGAAGATGATTATTGTATATAAAGCATAAGAGTATGTAGTCATGTGTCCGAGTGGAAGTTTGGAAGCGCCAGTGGTTGGTCAGCTTAATTTAGTGCTGGTCTCTGGCAGTTTCTGGCTGAGTAGATGGCATGTGTTCAGTGTACTCATGGCCTGTACCTTGCTGTATATAGAGCTCACTTTCATATACAATGTGTGAAATACTTGAGGTGTGTTCCTAAGTGTCAGCAACACCTGGCTATCATGGTATAAAACTTGTTAGCACAACAGTATAACAATATAAAAGGCAAGACGTTTGTTTGAATCTTATTGCTATTGTATTTGAATTTTGCAATTTTGTCTGGGATTCTAGTCTGCGTGAAAAGATTGGGCAGTCGACTTGACTGTTTTTGTAAACCGAGAGACTGAGATACATGGCTGTCCACTCATTCATTTTCATTTCCAGAGATTGTTCATACCAGTATTATTTGCATTTGAACTCTTAAGATCCAGAGTACGTCTAATGTCAGACAAACTTTATCTTATCTTTGATAGTTATTCTATTTTTGTATTCAGATATTTTAACAACAGTTTTGTTTTTTTTGCTTATGTAGGGCGTTAGGTTTTAATCTATCTGTAATTTTATGTACAAACTTTGTCATCAGGAAAAACTGAAAATATCAAAATACCACTATTATAAAATTCATAGAATAAACAAAAATACAATTATGATTATTATGATCATGTATCTATCATTATTAATTATTATCATTTATAATAATAATACTTATTATTATTATTATTATTATTAATTATTTATTTATTTTTTGTAAGTCTCAGGAAAGTCATGGGCATTCGCTGACATGATGACTTGAACAAAAACATATTTTATTATTTATTTAACCATGATGCTTTCTTCTCTTAGATGGCAACGTGTCACACTTGTAATAAGATGTCCAGACAACCTGGAATGAATCGTGAGCTTTTGTCTACATTGTCAAAGAACCGAAGTACCCCAGGAAGTGCGGGCAAACAAAGAACTCCACAGTCAGCCAGCAGGTCTACTCCGAAATCTGTAGTAGACAGAACACCAAGTGGCACACCAAGGTAAGCTACTGTTAGCGAGTGTGTATGTTACATGTTGACATAGAACTAGCCTTAAGCTCAGCTGTTAAAACCATATATACAATCTGTTCTTTCCCCAGGTCAGTATCTTCAAACACCAGCTCATCATCATCAAAGTCTGTCAGTGCGAAGCCGTCGCCTTTCGCCCGCCTCAAGAAGATCCTTATGCTGGAAAACAAACAGCAGAGCAAGAAAGGTGGCCTGAAGGACTTCCTCTCATCTCTCTGAAGACCTCAGGGTCGTTAAAATGAAAGACTCTGGCCCACTTTGAGTGGAGCTGCTGAAATTCAGAGCATGAAGCTTGATGAGGATGATGATCACTTCTCCTTGTGTATTACAATGCCATCTAGTGGAGGAGTCATTAGCCTGGATTATATGGAAGGACAGGGTTATATTGAACAGAAGGTCTCCTTTCCTTCTATCAGGTATCAAATGAGTGGGGAAAAAATGTCCTTTTGTAACTTGTGCTACAGAACCACGCTGTGACATTTTATAGTTTTTTTCATTTGCCATTTATTTTCATGGTCCTACATATTGTTCATTTTTGTACAAGAAAAACAACTTTTATATGTTGTGTTTTTAATGTTAATGTACTCTTTGAATTCACACATTTGTGTCCACAGCTCTTAGTTTGGATCACTGATATTAAAAGAAGGATTGTCTTTGCACTTGGCTTACACACTGAATTATTATCATTATTAATATTATACTGTTACAAAATGTGTGCTGGGTTGTTTACATTTGATGGCTTATTTGCCATCAAACTATGTAGCAAAGACCAAAAATATTTCATACTGACTATTTTTCTTCTCAGTACATTAAAAAAGAAAGATGATGGTTTTTTTTGTCTTGTTTGATCATTTTCAATAAAAAGTTAAATAATGACATTTGTCTGTTTATTTAGTCCTCTTAAAAGACATATCAAAACTTTTCTTCTGGCTTCAAACTGTATTATAATCAGAGGCGGACAAAGTACTCAATTCCATTACTTGAGTGAAAGTACAGATACTGCTGGTCAAATATTACTCCATTACAAGTAAAAGTTGTAAAGACAGATTTTTACTTAAGTAAAAGTACAGAAGTACTTGCTTTTAAAAGTACTTAAGTACCAAAAGTAAATTTCCTTTTTTTATGTCAATGCACTGTTTTATTGTTGTACGTAATACTTGCAATACTTCTGAAGCAACTTACAATACATTACACCTACTGAATACACTGACTAGCTTGTAGTATCTTTGGAATAAAGAGCTTTTAGAATGTTAAAAACCTATGGGGGGAAAATTAACCACTACCCACCCCCACAAAAGCAGGATGGTAGTGATCTCAGTTCTGCTTCTGACAGTGTGTGTGCACACATCTATATGTAGCCATTCATCCACATTTGAACAGAGTGGACAGTGAAATCCTGTAAATACAGAGTGATAAGAAAGAAAAAAAATCAAACTTGCTTTAAAACCCAGCAACACAACTGTAGCTGTATAACTTTACAACAGCAGCACTGCTTTAACAAAAAAGCAAAACAGCAAGACTTATTTGATCAAAACAAAAATT